CCTCCACCGCCTTGGTTGCCAGTGCCAATAAACTCCGTCTAGCCTGGTTTCTTGTCCTGGTACCAATTCTTTTCGAACTTTTCAAGAACAACAAATCCAATGCATAGTCTATATGCTCTTGGGATTAGGGGCTCAGGCTTTGGATTCTGATCCGTTGTGGTACTATGGGCAGGTTACTTAACCTCATAGAATCTCTCGCATCACAGGATTATAAGAACTTAGTGATGGAGAGTGTGTGAAGTTCTTGGCACAGCTGGGCACTTTCTAGAGCAGTCAATATAGTAGCCCCCTTTTGTGCTCTCCTGTATTATCTCCCTGAGTTTTGTGAAAAGGAGGTCTTCATTAGCATGAGCCCAGTGGCAGGGATGAAATCAGTGTGAGTTTAAAAGAAATTGGGGGCCGGCCCAGTGGCGCACTGGAGAGTGCGCCGCTTGGGAGCGCGGCGGCGCTCCCGCCAAGGGTTCGGATCCCATGTGGAGACCGGTTCCGCTCACTGGCTGAGCGCGGTGCGGGCGCAACACCGAGGGTTGCGATCCCGTTGCCGGTCCCCGGTACGGGCACGGCACCGAGGGTTGCGATCCCGTTACTGGTCAGTAAAAAAGATAAAAAGGAAAAAAAAAAAAGAGAAATTGGAAAGCTAGGACATGAACAAGAAAGGAAATTCAAGGTCATCACTTGCTTTACAGATCTTCTCCTTGTCCTCTTTCCTGTGGGGCTTCATAGAACCATCACTTTCCCCATTCCCAGGTTTGGAAATTTGAACCCATCTCTGACCTCTCTGTTGTCTGCATCTAATATCAACCTCCTCAGTGTCCTCTGGGCCCATCCTCCACCATCGCTACCCTTGTTTGGACATATCATCCCCTTCCAGGACAAATGCAACTCATCAGCAACTGCCCTTCCTTCTTCCCAGATGGCCCCTGTCCAGTCCACCCTCCACAAGACTCCTTAAAGCTCTTCTGTTTGTTGCACAGTTGTCCTTGATGGCATCTATATTTAGTATTACAGAAAACCCTAAATAACAGTGTTGGAGTCAACAGGACTGAAGCCATCTTGGGACCTAAAACCACCTAGGCTTTAGAATATATATATATATTTTTTCCTTTTTGTCTTTTTTCGTGACCGGCAACGGATCGCAACCCTCAGTGTCGTGCCCGTACCGGACCGGGACCGGCAACGGGATCGCAACCCTCGGTGTTGCGCCCGCATCTTGCTCAGCCAGTGAGCGGCCGGTCTGTATGTGGGATCCGAACCCTCGGCGGGAGCGCCGCCGCACTCCCAAGCGGCGCACTGTAGCAGTGTGCCACCGGGCCAGCCCCGGCTTTAGAATATTTTAAAAGACACAGTTGTTTTTTTTTTTTCCCCTCCTCTGTCCCTTCTCATCCCTTAACCTCCTATCTTGCTTGCTAAGCAAGAAAAGTACCTTGCAAACTAACATTTCTTCTTTGAAGCTTGCAGAGTTCTGAAAACAGATGTCTGGAGGCTGACCATGGGCACCAGCAAGGAATCCATAATCTACTGAGTTAACAGCCAGCTAGAGCTCTGCAGGGACCTTGCAAAGAAGCTGGCTCCTAAATCTTCCCACATTCCATTCCCTCAAACTCCTTCATAAAAATCCCTCAGTAAATCTAAGCCTTTGAGATGGGTTAGCCTACCATCTCCTTAGCCTGAATAAAGCTGCCTTCCTTTTTCACCAACTTTTGACATTTGGGTCATTTGTTTCTGTTTGGTGACAGGCAGCCAGACTTGGGTTTGGTATCAACAGCAGCTTAGACATGATAAAATTTCATTTCTCTCACTTTTAAGAAATCTGGAAATAGCCATTCAGGGCTATTGCCATGCTCCATAGCTTCAGAGACCAAGGCTCCTTCTGTCTTTGCTCTGCCACTTGTGGCTTGCATTTTCAAGGTCACCTCATGGTCCAAAATGGCTGCTTGAGCACCAGCCATGCATCTACATTCTAGTCAGTGGGAAGAATGAAGTGGGAAAGGTTACAATTCCTTCCTTTAAAGACCCTTTGTAAAATTTGTGCACACAACTTTTATATTTCATTGGCCAGGATTTAGTGTATAGTCACACATAGCTGCAAGGGAGGCTGGGCCATGTATGGCTTACATTAAGGAAGGTATATAACATGTAAGTACACAGCCTGGTAAATGTGTACACATGTACCTGGATAACCACAACCAGGATCAAGATAGAGAAAGGCCTTCAGTGTCCCAGCAGGCTTCCTTGTGGAGCTCTGAGTTTTGAGACCTCCTCAGGTAATCACTACTCTGACCTCTATCACTACAGATCACTTAATGTGTTTTGAAACTTTGAATACATTGAAACATTCCACATGGAATCCTCTGCATCTGGATCCTTTCACTCAGCCTCACGTCTGTGAGGTTCATCCATGTGGCTGCATATAGCAACAACTTGTTCTTTTTTACTGATCTATAGTGGTCTACCACAATATTTATCCTCTTGTTGATGGACACTTGGCTTGTTTCCAGTTTTGGGCTATTTTTAAGAAAGCTGGTGTGAACATTTACATACATGTTTTTGGGTGGACATGTTTGTATTTCTCCTGGGTATTTATCTAGGAGCAGAATTGCTGCATCTGGATAGGTAGTCATTATTCCAGATGGTTATATATTCAGCTAAAAATGGTATTTTTCGATTATTATGGAAGAAGGGGAGAATGAATATTGGGGGCTAACTAGCCATCCTATGGCGCCCAACTGTCTACCCATGTTAGCCAAACTGTCCTGGCATTCAGACATGCAGCTCTCTGCAAATCTCTCTGTACCTTCCTCCAGTCTTGCCTTGCACTCTGCCCTTCCCTCTCTCAATTGCTCCAAATATTTTCCTGCCCGTGGGTCTTCTCTCATCCTCCTCCATCTGCTTGGAAGGCTTCACTCCTCTTCTTTCATACCTCCCAGCTCTGCCTCAAGTACACCTATAGCCAGACACCCTTTCTCTCCCAAGTTGGGACCAATTTCCTTATACCATCTACTACTGTGGTGTGCTGTACCTTGGCAAATTCATTGAACGCATTTGCCTTGTTTTAATTATCTCATGCATCCCAGAATTTAGAATTGAAAGGGTCGTTAGAGGTCCTGAAAGCCCCGCAGGAGCTTGTCTGCCACTCCCAAGGTAGCAGCTCTTGAATCTCATTGGGATCTCCAGGTCTTTATTTCCCCTGTCAGTTCTCTCTTTTGTTCTTCATTCCCCTCCCTGCTCCATCATCCCAAGAGACAAGGACTAATACCCTTGAGCCTCTGTCTTTCAAAGAATGCATCTGGCAAAATCCCAACTGCAGATGAATCCAACAATCTGCTTTCTCCCTGCTGGCCCACAGAGCTGAACTGCCCTGGGCAGGTGGGTCCACTGTAAATCCACTCAACCTCAGATGGCCCCCACCACTGCCCAAACTGTCTACCTTTGCTTACCTGGTCAGTTCACACTTCTACTCTCTGCAGTGACTATCCCTCCCCCCTTTTAAAGATTAAAGTATACTTTATATACATTAAAACTTACCTCCTTTCGTTTACAGTTCTGCAAGTTTTGACAAATGTGTATGATCGAGCAACTGCCGCCACAGTTAAGATGCAGAAGAACTCTGTCAGCCCGAACTGCCTCTGTGGCCTTTGGTTGGTGGTCAACCCCTCTCCCCCTCCCAGCTTCTGGAAACCACTGATGTGTTTGCCTTTTTCAGAATGTCACATAAACAAAATCATATAGTTTGTGATCTTTTGACCCTGGCTTCTTTCACTCAGAAGGATGTGTTTGAGATTCATCCATGTTGTGTGTTTTGGTGGCTCATCTTTTGTTACAGCTAAGTAGCATTCTCTTGCATGTTGTATCTGTTTGTTTACTCATTCACCAGTTGAAGGACATTTGGATCATTTCCAGTTTTTGGTAATTATGAAAAAAAAAGCCACTTTAAACATTTGCATACAGGTTTTTGTGTGAACCTAAGTTTTCATTTCTCTTGGGTAAATATCTGGGAGTGGGATTGTTGGGTGGTAGATTTCACTGCAAAACCATTTTTCCGAGGGGCTGTACCATTTTGCACTTCCACCCACAATGTATGAGAGTTCCAGTTGCTCTGCATCCTCACCAACAGTTTGTAGTATCAATTTAAAAAATTTTTTTTGTCATTCTGATATGGTAACTTATTGTGGTTTTAAATTATATTATCCTAATGATTAATGATGTTGAGCATCTTTTCATGTGCTAATTTGCCCATATGTCTTTTCTGGTAAAGTGTCTTTTCATATTTTTGCCCATTAAAAAAATTGGATTGCTTGTCTTCTTACTATTGAGTTCGAGAGCTCTTTATATGTGCTGGTTACCAATGCCTTATCAGATACATGATATGTGATTATTTTCCCTCAGTCTTTGGCTTGTCTTTTCACATGGTGCCTTTAAAAAAATTTTTTTTTAAATGACCAGTAAGGGGATCTTAACCCTTGACTTGGTGTTGTCAGCACCATGCTCTCCCAAGTGAGCTAACCGGCCATCCCTATATAGGGATCTGAACCCACGGCCTTGGTGTTATCAGCACCACACTCTCCCAAGTGAGCCATGGGCTGACCCTCACATGGTGCCTTTTGAAGTGCCTAAGTTCTTAATTTTGAAGAAGTCCAATTTTTCAACTTTTTCCTTTATGGATTGTGCTTTAAGTGTCATGTATAAGAAATCTTTGTCTAATGCAAGGTCTCAAAGATTTTCTCCTATGTTTTGTTCTAAAATTTACATGCTTTGATCAAAAACTTGTATGGTAGCTTTTACATTTAGGTCTGTGATCACTTTTGAGTTAGTTTATAGAGTAAGGTCAGTGATTTTATTTTTTAATTTAGTTTAATTTTATGCAAGGAGTATATTTACAAGGTTTGAAAAGACTCCATCTTAAAATGAAAAGCAGCAACCCCATGCCCTGTCTAACTCTACTTTGGATCCCCACTGTTCAAAGGCAGTCATTATTAACTCATTTAATTTTTCCTTCTGGTATTTCTCCTTGTAACATGCTTGTACATGCTTGATTTTTTTTTTTTCCTTTTTGTCTTTTTTCGTGACCGGTAACGGGATCGCAACCCTCAGTGTCGCGCCCGCACCGCACTCAACCAGTGAGCGGACCGGTCTCTACATGGGATCCGAACCCTCGGCGGTAGCGCCTCCGCGCTCCCAAGCGCCGCACTACCGAGTGTGCCACCGGGCCGGCCCCTACATGCTTGATTTTTGATTGACTTTCTACCACTGAAGATTAGGTTAGCTTTCTTACACCTTCCCATACTCCCCCCACCAACTCTACCATGATCCTGGTATAGTTATGAAACGAATCATGGCTAATTTAGTGTTCAGTGCTTATGTTATTATGACGATGTACGTATTACTCACAGTGACACAAAATAGCTTATTATAATTACATTTCCTTCCTTAGACTTTTTTTCTCTTATAGTTAATAATTCATTTTTTAGGTTTGGCTTTGTAAGAGCCAGTCACTAATTATCCCGTGTTCTCTGACAAAAGTCTATGGCACCTCCCAACACAGTAAGAAAATCAGGTGGTGTCTAAGCGTGTCAGTTCTTGTTTGTTTGTGTTTTCTGTTCCCTTCTGCTTCTTCAGTTCCTCTCTGGACTGGTGCTCTCGAGGTGCAGCCCATCTCTGGGATTGTTCTGGAGTTCCTCTGCACTACGGTTGTCCCTTCATTTTTCCTTGATGTTGAATCTCGTTTCTTGGACATCATGTTTCCTCTTCCTGGGTGGATTCCTTGTTTTGGTGGAGCATTTCTCCTAGCAGCATCCCAGGGCATGTGCATGGGAGGGAAGTGTCCGAGCCCTTGCTTAACTGAAATGTCTTTATTCTACTTTCACTTTTGTGGGAGAATTTGGTTGCATATAGAATCTGGTTTGGAAATTATTTTTCTTCAAAATTTTAAAGTTGTCACCTGTCACCAGGTAGCTTCTCTGCTGCTGTCAAGAAGTCTGAAGTCATTCTGATTGCCAGTTCTTTGTGTCTCTTTCTTTTTTTCTCCCTGGAATCTTAGTGGAGGTTGGGTGGGTGGGGTGCAGGCCTGGCCACCAGTGGTCTGGGAACTGATGAGGAAAGGGGCTGGGAGTTCCAGCTGTCACTCTCACGCTCTCTCACCACCACCACCCTGTCTTCAACTGGGCCTGAACGCTCCATCCACGGTCCCTTGGTTTATTTCTCCAGATGTAGGGTTGCCTACAGATAAAGTGCAAGACCCCCAGTTAAATTTGAGTTTCAGAGAAGCAACGAATAATGTTTTATAATAAGTATGTCCCAATGCAATATTTGGGATATACTTATACTAAAAAAATTATTTGTTGCTTATCTGAAATTTAAATTTAGTTGGCATCCTGCTTTTTAATTTGCTAAATCTGGGAACCCTACCCAGATGGCAATCTCTTTTTTCCTGCTAGGGAGGGTCAGTCACCCAGCTGAGAGAGCTGGGGGAGGCATCTGTATTTAACTACCATAATGACTTTGATTTCCAACGCAGATTTCTATATAGCAACCAAACTCTCACACAGGCTGAAAGTAGAACAAAGACATTTCAATCACACAAGGTATTACAGACCTCATCTTTCTGATTTTAACCTCTCCCCACCGTC